CTTCAAGCACGAAGGAGATCCTACACAACTAGTAAGCAAAAGCACAAAGCTCATAAGCTCACTAGCAATGCTCAATAACAAAGCAACTAATGCCAAATTAGAGAGCGCAAAATAGTTAGCTATGAAAATTAAGCAATGTGACTAACAAGGTTACTAAAATCAAATTAGCCACGCAAGGGAGCTACTTCTATGCTACACAAGCAAGAAGGTAACTAGCAAGCTACACAAGCTAACTAATTACACGAGCAACTACACAAGCACAACATATAAAAACTAAGTACAAGCTTGTGTAATGGGGATGCAAACCAATGGGAAGAACAATGTTGACACGGTGATTTTTCTCATGAGGTTCACTTGGTTGCCACCAAGCTAGTCCCCATTGTGTCGACCGCTCACTTAGTGGTTCGGTGGCTAATTGGCATCACCCGCCAAGCCCGCATGTCGGGCACTGCAAGAACCTACCCACAAGTGAGGGTAGCTCAATGACACGCTCTACTAGTGTTGCTCTTCATGGCTCCCGCGGGGTGAGCATGGTACCCCTCACAAATCCTTCTCCGGAGCAGCGCACAATCTTCTTGCGAGCTTTACGACGGAGAACTCACCACCAAGCCATCTAGGAGATGGCAACCTCCAAGAGTAACAAGCACCACTGGCTTGCAACTCGATCACCTAGTGCCACTCGATGCAACCTCACGATGCAATCACACTAGAATCACTCACCCGCAATCGATTCACACTCTTGCAAGCACAAGTGAGTTAGAGGGCTCCCAAGCACACTCAAACATGGACACAAAGTCCCCCTAGGTGCTCAACCTTAGCCATGGCCGAGACACCCCTCTATTTATAACCGAACGCGCTGAAGGACGACCTGACATGCGCAACCCGCATCAGCTCGCGTGCCCCTATGCGCCACAGAGCCAAGGACAGGATGCTACATCATGTGGAGTTAGGTCGACTCTAGAAACTACCCCAAGAGGTTTTGTCAATCGAACGCGTCCGTTCGCGTATGACCAGACACATCGTGGTGTCCGCTCCTCTCTACCTAGCGCGCCAGCTCTACATCAGCGCATGTCAGTAATGAATGGACGCAGGAGCGTCACGTCAGGTCACCTCCAGGCTCTAGCGTCTAGTCATCAAGACCGAGGCCATGCCACTTTAGCTAACACTGACCGGCCAGTGTCCGGTCACCTCCAGTGACCTCTTTTCGCCTCCTTTTCTTCACCAAGTTGATCCACATCAACTCCAACTTCTTCTTCTTAGCAAATATGCCAACACCACCAAGTGTACACCACCAGGTGTATGTGTGTTAACTTTTCACAAACATTTTTAAGGAGTTAATCACTCAATTCACAACGTCACTCGATCCTAACACGTATGCAAAGTTAGATCGCTCAAGTGGCACTAGATGACCGATATGCAAACAACTTTGCCCCTCTTGATAGTACGGCCATCTAACCTAAACCCAGTCATAATCTTCTCTACACACCTATGACCGATGAAATGAAATGCCCTACAAATATACCTTTGCCTTACGCATTCCATTCCATCTCCTCCAATGTTGATGCAACACATGCACCAACCATATCACAAATGATATGATCCACTTCATATCATCACATGACCTTTGTAGGTTCATCGATCTTGACCTCACTTGCTTTTCACCGTTGCCTTTGTCCATCAGCACCAAGTCTTGCTCAAGCTTCACCGCCACACGGTCCATCGCTCCAAAGCCTCCAACTTGCCCTTCACGCTTGCAACCGGTCCATCAAGCCAAGCCCTGTCTTGATCTTCTCCACCTTGGTCACATGAGTTAATGTCATGTCTCATATGCAATGAGCTCCTTCATCACATGTGTGAGCTTTGTAACATCTCTGAGCCATTTTCACCTGCATGGCATATGTTGCTCACACACATGTACATGTGGACTAATCACCTATGTATCTCACATTGAACACAATTTGTCCACCTAGGTTGTCACTCAATTACCAAAACCAAACAAGAACCTTTCAAACTTACGATTAGATTTATAGCTAAATATACTATCCAATAATTATGATTTTATTATCTAAAAAATATAAAATAAATGAATGGTTAAGTTATATTTTGGAGACTACTTTATGTTTGAGTAACTAATTACAGTAATATTTTCACGAACTGATGGATTAGTAGAGTGTCTAGTTTGTCTTAGTTTTCTAAACACCGCTCTAGTCTGCCATCTCGACCTATCAATGGGTATCGGAGCCGAGGTCTCTCATCTGTGGTCATCACCAACTCGAGAGGATGGCGACTTATAGGCTAGATGTTGATTGTCCACACATTTTTATAGCACACACTTTGCATGATGAAAAAATTGGATACTAGTAATCTTAAGTTTATTTGCCCTCAAATATGGTGGATCATATATGTAGGCTTTTTCTTGTGTTGGGTGAAGAGAATCTAACTCAAGCACAAGAGAAATGCCTAGATCTTGAAATCCAAGCCACTTGCATTTTACATCGATCTTTGAGTGACAAGATATTTGGGGAAACCATGTATATGAAGACTGCCCATGATATTTGGTTGTATCTTAATTTGATATATGAAGGGTCTCTAATGATGATGATGATGAGTCCAAGGAGGAGGTATGACATGCATACGTGTATGGAGCACGCGACTGTAGCTTGTATGGCCTAATCTTCATAGTGGAGCCTAAGAAACCTTGATAACTATCGTTGCATGACCTGATGGAGAGGTAGCGCACCACGAGATCTTGCACTCGCAACAAACTACCGAGACATCCACCCTTTCACGCACCAACAAAAATAGTCCACGCAATCACGCCATATAGACATGAAGGCACGAACTGGATGAACCGAAGTTTGGTGTTCTACAACTCCCTCAGGAATCGAAAGAACAAGATGTTGACACAAAAATATGGCGATGTAATCAACACACAGCAAAACAGATGATCTGAGTAGAATGAGAATAGAGATATGCTTGGCTTCAACACAGAACCAACCGATTCTAAAAACCAACGACGTGCTAGTCAATTTGACCTGCAATTGACAAGAAGAGAAAATCTTATCAGTAATTTAAGGTAGAACATATCAGTGTTGCACCAGACAGTTCTAAATGTACGACTAGATAGCCGATTCAATAAGGCTATCGACTAAATAGTCGATATCCGACGTATCCATGAGAAGCGATATAAGAAGGCATCATCGGCTAAATGGAACTTGATCGATATAAAGCGTTGAGCCGATAAGTTTGATGAAAAGAGTATAACATGCGAACAAATCGACTATCTAATATAAATGAATTTACAAACAGTTTGATAATGATAACAAACTAAAGCCAAAAAATCTATAAAACCATCTATATGTTGATAGATTCATGAAAACATGCTATATGCGTGAGAGTATAGGCAAATCGGCTAAAATAGCCGATGCAGTCATAGCAAACAAATATAGTACATATCTTGATCATGAACAAGACCACTAATCGATAATTTCTAATCTAAAGTCTTACCAGTGAGGTTCGACCGGATCGATGCAGCTATGGTAGTGTTATTAGATTAGATCTCATTAACTAATGAGTTTATTCAAGATTAAAACATGTCTTTGGATGCATACTATGTTTGATTGGAATAGAGATAAAACAGCCGATCTAGCAGAATTAAGCCATCAATTATAAGATTTAAAGCGTGACCAGATCAAAGGACGATCGATTAAGAGATATGATGTCGATCTATCTCTATCTCAATAAGGTGATTTGTTATAATTAATAAAACATTAATTTTAACAAGATCAATAACTGGTGAATCAACCAAAAATAGCAAGGAAAATCTTACTAATCTTAGCAGATTCGATAACTGGTGATATTGTATTAAACAACAAATTATTTAACACAAGATCGATAACTTTAATCTATATTATGATTCGTAAGAGATCAATCAGCTGATGCAGCCTTACAAACTACGATACAGATCGATAACTAACTTATATTATAGCTCATAAAGGATCAATCAGCTGATGCAGCTTTACAAGCACAATACAAGTCGTGATGGTACTCACAAGCAAGCTGGAGGTCGATTAGTCGATGCAGCCCTGTTTGCTGAAGAACTCACCGAGATCTACAGTACTCCTACTCCTAATGCGATGGTGAAAGCTGGAAAGATTATATTGATTGAGTGTTCATCCTTTTGTACAATAACCAGGGTCTAATATTTATACCCGGAACCTAAATATGAATCCTACTCAAATACGACTCATTACAATTCTAGAAATAAAAGAAAACTTCCTAACTTAATAATAACTTGGACCCTAATTTTCCTTATTTGTAGAGTCCGACACATCTTCCTGACGCCATTCAAGCAAAGCCCATTGATGTTGTCCGCTGATGTCATCTATAAAATAGTCGATTCTGACATCGCATCTAAATCAGCTGATACCTATTCACACCTAATCGATTCGTTGATGATACAATCCTAAAAGCTTCGAGTTTTCACGTTCTTCTTCCTAAATTTTGGTGTAAACACAAGAATTGCAAAGCACTCATGCCTTACTGAAGATTTCAAATATCCTCTCCATGAGAGGAGAACACACACAAGGTGGTTGTACTTTAACCAAAAAGACTCTCTTACATTGAAGCATTACATGAGTATTTATACTATGATGAAAAGTATGTGAAAAGTTGATACTTAATATGGGTGCTAACCACCATACCAAAGGTCATCTTTACTTAATATAGGTGCTGGACTGCATGTGCACCTTAAAAAAGTCATAACTCTTAGCTTGGAAGTCCAAATGTTGCACCGTTTGTTGCGTGTGGAACTAGACTTCAATATCTTTTTGTTGATATGGAAAAAGGATACTGAAACATGGCCCATGTTGCAGGTATAGCTATAAGAAACTGTTGAATCATAGTTGAGGTTGAGTTATCCTTATCCTATTGTCCACATCAAGGTACATGAGGATGTTGAGCATATCCACAACATCGTGGTTGTGAAACAATAGTTAGAGCTAAGAAAACACAATTGCAACTTGTGAAAAGGTTGTATTCAAACTGTTAGGAAGTAAGCTCATAACAGAAGCAACAGATGCACATTACATTTGAAAACAATGCTTGCCCTAGATAAAATCGTAAGTAGGACACTCACCAATATTGGTTATGAAACATCACGGTGTCTAGTGGAACATGATTCCCATCATCATTTGTTCTAACAATAGCATTCACATTCTCAGTCAAGGAATTCCTTTTCTTCTTAATAGCCTTGACTAGCTTGCCAACTCCTTCATTAAACAATTTGCTTGGGATCGAACTCATCTGAGCACATATCTGCACAGTGTGTTGACATCTTGCTCATCATTATCGCATAACGGATTGAAATGACATTTTCTATTTTTCCTCCACAACTTCACCTCTTGTCATGTCCTTAATTTCTTATCCATTTCAATTGCCCATCTTGGGCGAATGAATGATTCTGGCAATTTAGTCATACCTTTTCTTGTTGTTATATTAAACACATGGCAACAATGAAGGCCATCCCTTTGGAATTTTGCACATGAAGACTTGTATAGTTGGCCATCTTGAGAAATAGTAACCTTATATAGATTCTTTTGGTACTCAGCTATATCATATTGTTTTACTCTCTTCAACAAAAGAATATGTACCAACACGCTCTTCTTCAACAATATATGTTGTACTGTTTCTCATTTCCTTCTGCAACTTACCAATAATTGGCCTTGTGAATATATTCATTGCCTCTTCCTCAATAACTGACATTGACCAAGTTGATCCTGATGCTGCTTGTGAGATGTATCTCTTCCTATCTAGTTTGGTAAGGTTCTTTCTTGGATAATCTGGTACTATTGGAAAAAGTTTGATATGGTGTCCTTCCGGAGCACATAGTGTTTGAAGAGTGAGTTGGTACTCTCGCTTGTTTCGGTGGTTGAAGAAAATGGGTACAATTTGTCCTTGAAGTATGTTAATGCCCATTAGTCCTGATATCATATAGGGATTTCGCTTAGCATTGTGCTCTGCTAGGGTACTTTATCATCCCGCCTCAAACTCAACTAAAGTGAACGTGTTCTTGATTAGATACCTTAGCTGGGGTTCATTGTTCCTCAGGTGGCTTTGTTAGCTGTTGATGTTCTCAAGTATGTGCCAGAAATAGAACTTCTATGTGTTGCATTAGGTAATACAGTCAGTATGGCCTTCATGACAGCATTGTCCTTGTCAGTAATAATGTTTACAGGTCTCTTCCCACCCATTCCATCCAGGAATGCACCAAAGAGCCACTCAAATGTGCTGCTGGCCTTCTAGTCTTGCATCAGCACACAAGCTAAAATCAACGTATTGCCATGATTGTTCACCCCAACTATAGGAGCAAAAGGCATATTATACATGTCCGTGCTAAACATGGTATCAAATGATAGGTAGTCTCCATACGGTTCATAGTTCTTACGCCCCATCAAAGCAGAGAAATATAAATTTCAATTGGTCAAGAGGGAGATTCAAAGTCAAAGACAAGATTGCCAAATGAATTGTGTTTTCTTGTTTTATTTCTTTTCTGATACCATTACCATATACTGCACTATACTAGACAAATTTTAGCCTCAGATGTTGAATCATACAGAAACACGATATGTCTCTTTTTCTATTTTTGTGGTGATGTAACTAATACATAATAATTCATGAGGGAAACTTGGAAACTTGGATACAACAAAGTAGACTTAGCCTTTTCTTTAGCAAAAGCATATGGTTCTATGTGCCAGTATCAGGCCATGACAATATTATGAAGTGTTGATGTAATACACCAATATGAGAGAGCAGAGAGTGAGAGAGAAAGAGTCAAATGAATCAAAGGACAAGTGAGTCCCCTCCGCCTCCCTTCTCTCCCCTTTTATTAGGGGAGGTGGGAAGGTATGTTTTCATTATTTTTCTTGGTGAGGCTTGTACTTACAAAAGAACCAATAGGGGCTACAAATGAGCCCCAAACATTATCTCACAAGCCCTTTCACCATGTAATTGGGCCCTAAAAACACTAATGGGGGTCCCTAACATATAATACTTACACCCCCAACATTAGCCCCTCAGATATTTGGTTTTGATCGAAAGTATAAGACCCAATGGCTGAATACAACTAAGTGTGGCCCAATTACTACTTAGACCCAGTGCACGACTCTTGTCTATACAGAGAGTCTAGGGATGACTTTATCTTTGGCTAGTCTTTGACTCCAACCTTCGCTCGAACCTCCGTGACCCTGTCTTCAATATCTTGCTCCTTCGGTCTTGGGCCCTTAATACCTTCTTTTCACAATTGAGCTTTCACCGAAGATATTGATGTAGTCGAAGTAGGCGAAGCAGTTGATGTAGGCGAGGTAGTTGTAGATGATCATGACGAGTCTTCAAGCTTTCACTCACGGGCTCCATGCAAAGCTTTTGTCTTCGGGAAGATTACTTGTCCAATGTGCTCCCTTGCTAGCCCCTCTTGGCTAGCACTTGTGAGAAATTATTTCAAAGATGCCAATGACGATCCCTCTACTCTAAATGTTGGCAAAGGTGAAGTCGAAGATGCTGATGGCGTCCCCTTGCCGAAATGTTGATGAAGGTGTTGTTGATGACATTAAAGTCATTGGTGAAACCCCTCGCTGAAATGTTAGTGAAGGCGTAGTCGATGTCGAAGTTGGTGGCGAAGCCCCTTGCAAAAATGTCGGCGAAGGCATTGCCGGTACTGCCGACATCATTGGTGAATCCCCTTTCGAAACGCTGGCGAAGGCATAGTTGACGGCGCTGGAGTTGGTGGCGAAGCCCCTCATCAAAAAGTTGGCGAAGGCGAAGTCGATGATGCCAAAGTCGATGGTGAAGCTCCTAGCCAAAACATTGGTGATGGCGTTGTCGATGACGCCAAAGTTGTTGGTGAGGCCCCTTACCGAGACATTGGCGAAGGCATAGTCGATGGCACTAGAATTGGTGGTGAAGGTATGGTTGATGACTTCGAAATCGGGGCAAAATCCCTCGCTGATAGGTTGGCGTAGGTGGTGCCGAGTTAGCTGAAGTCGGTGGTGATGTTGCTCATTGATGTGTTTGCAAAAGGTGTTGTTGGTGACATCGAGATCGGTGGCGGGGGCCCTTGTCATAACTCAACCAAAGTCTCTAATAGTGAGTCACGAAACTTTTAATAGTGAAGTGGGGACCAAAAGCGAGAACAGATGATAGAATTCTTGGAAAGAGTGCTATGACGGGATCCGATGCTTTAGTACTAGTATGACCGCTTTGATGTCTTACTGGTTTTTTTTGGCAAAATGAAGGAGAGGCAACGAAGAGAAACCCTTGGCTTTTTCAGATTACTTTGGTGTCAACCTTGTACCTTTTCGGGTGAGGGGGCGAGAAGTGCAAAATGAGCCCCTCGACGCTTTTTAGATTAGTTTGGTGCCAATCCCCATACCTTTTGAGGCGAGGGATTGGAAACAACGAAATGAGCCCCTCGGCGCCTTTAGATTACCTTTGCACCGACCCCAAACCTTTTGAGGCGAGGGGGCATAGAAGCAGTGATACGAGCCCCTTGGCGAAACAACCCCCCAAACATTGACGTGGGGCAAAGAGCCGTGAAATGAACCCCTCGGCTTTTATTACTTTGGCGCCAACCCCCAAACATTTTGAGGCGAGGGGGCAAGAAGCGGCGAAACGAGTCCCTCGACGCTTTTTAGATTACTTTTGTGCCAACCCCCAAACATTTTGACGTGGGGCAAAGAGCCGTGAAATGAACCCCATGGCTTTTTGATTCCTTTGGCACCAAGCCCCAAAACATTTTGAGGCGAGGGGGCTAGAAGCGGCGAAATGAGCCCCTCGGCGCTTTTTAAATTACTTTTCTGCCAAACCCCAAACATTTTGACGTGGGACGAAGAGCCGCGAAATAAACCCCTCACCCTTTTTATTACTTTGGCATCAAGCCCCCAAACATTTTGAGGCGAGGGGGCTAGAAGCGGTGAAATAAGGCCCTCGGCGCTTTTTAGACTACTTTTGCGCCAACCCATAGTCAAAGTCGCCGACAGCGAAGCCCGTGCCGGGATGTTGGTGGATGCTTAGTTGATGACGCTGTCGCTAATTCTGAAATTAAAATAAAGTTTGCAAAACATAGATTCATATTTTGCTTATGTTACATGTATTCTTGGCGACGCGAGGTTACCCTCTATCAAAACATTCTGGTTCAGTTGCTCATATTTTTGGCAACATGGAGTCTCTAAGCTCTCTTCATATCCTTCTGTACATAGAGATCGAAAAGGATGCATGTGGCGATCTGCACTATTGACTAGTTTTGATCTCATCTAACATCTTTTTGGATATCGGGGAGCCTTCTTACGATGCTAAGGCGCCCCTTTTGGCTCATGTGAAGTGCCAAGGGGTGAATGGATGTTATGAATGAATGTCATGATGCATATGATGGATGCATTCACACATATTAAAAGAATGGGAAAGCATTTTCATTTGGCTTTGCCCTCGCGTGTCTTTGGAAGGTCGAAGCCTTGAGCGCTTAGGCTTTTCGTTTAACTTCGTCCTCGCTATTTTTGAGAGTCGAAGTCATGAGTCCTTAGGCTTTTCGTTTAGCTTCATCCTCATGTATTTTTGGAGGGTCAAAGTCTTGAACCCTTAGCCTTTTTGTTTAACTTTGCCCCCACGTATTTTTAGAGGATCGTAGTCTTAGGCCCTTTGGCTTTTCGTTTAGGAAATGAGCAACCAAAACCAAAAGGTTTTACAGGGCAACAAGCAAACAAATAATAATATCTTGAAATAATCATGTACTTGAGTAACAACCATGCTATATAAACGGGTTAGCTGAGAGGATGAGAGATACTCGTAGTGATATTATCCTACATGTTAGAAATAAAGGATGCAAGATATGATTATTTTGAGACAGCCGCTTGGGTTAAGCGAGAGCTGCTTGGGATGATTGTTGATTGAGCAACTTAATTTGTAGCTAGCATTTCAGTTACTTTGGTGACCTTTATTCATGCGAAGCTTATGTTTTCACGTTTTGCTTAGTAAAGGCGAAAGTTAAAACACAATCTTAATTACATTGACCATTTGAGGAAAAGAAAACGTTAGACATCAAAAGATGGATTGAGAGTACCTAAACCTGCAAATGTGATAGGGCCTTGGGCATGCTAGCGAAGGGTGAGTATTTTGATGCACAAATAATACAAAAGTAATCACATGGCAAATGAATAAAATGATTGAGAAACATTGTTGCAAAAAGTTTAGGATTGCATGGGTTATAGCTTGGTGTTACACTGTTACCTCAGTGAAATGGTATGATCTTGCAAATTTGAGGAGAGTAAAAAAACAGGGCTTCAAACGAGGTGTTCAATGTTGTCTACACGTTATCTAGACATAGGATGAGATGTGGAATCGGGAACTGCTGGAGATGCTTTTGCACCCACTTCCACAACGAGATAGTTAGGCAATCTTACGCTACATGTGTTAGTGTTCAGACGGTCAGAAGACTCGAACCCATTCCTACTCCTACACTTCCCAGGAGTGGTGGCGGTCGCGGTCGTGCAACACGTGCCCGGCATGCCTGACCTCGTACGGCCTTCGTTCCCTGAACTCCAGGGCGTCCTCTACGGTCACCGCTTTGCCATGCCGACGCTTGTGCCCCAAGTGCCCGGCCTCCCTGTGCTGCACGCCGAGCGCCGGGTCGTGCCTGTGCCGGTGGCCTTCTGCCGCTGCCTCGGGCTGCTGCCTGTGTAGGACGTGGTGGTGGCTGGGCTCGCTCTTGCTCCTCTGGTGCGCGTGGTGGTGACTGTGGGGGTGGTGGCCATGGCGGTGCGAGTGCCCGTGTTGGTGGTGGTGCTGGTGGTGGCGGCGGCCTTTCTTGTGCCTCCGGTGCGTGCGGTCGTCGAGCCCCAGCAGGTCCTCCCACCAGTCGTACACCGGGTCGAAGAAGCCTTTCTGATGAAGAAGACACAGGAGAAGTGCGCCTGCAAGCCAATGACCAACAAAAAATGTTTGCTGAATGGTGAGCACGGGCAACGTCACTCGTCACAGCATTCGATATTGAAATGTTGAAAAGCGTACGTACCTGCGGGTAACGTAAAAAGTAGCAGCACCAACATGACGAGCCAGGTGATGCATGTGTACTGGGTATGGCAGCTAAAGTCAAAAAAGCTCCAACATTTGTTCATCCTGCTCCCAGATAATATGGTAAGAATCAGAAAATTAAACAGAATAGTTTCTGTTCATGAGAACTGATCGGAAGCAACAAGAAATTGTCAAAGATAATGAGCAAACTGGAAGGAATTGGAGCACCTGCAGGATTTGCCACTGAATAAATCAATCATAAAATCCCAGAAGCTAAGCAAATAGCCTTTGATGGTGTCAAAGAAACCCAATTCGTGGTCATTTGATGAACCGATAATCTACAGATTGAAGGCAAGAAGCATCAGGATTTTGTGGTAAATGAATGGATTTAATTGTTCAGGGCACACACAAAGCTTCTCGATGCAGAGAAGAATATTGTGGCTGAATTGCTTATTCATACATAATAATTTTATGCGACATGATTGTACAAGCATTTATATTTATAGTTTCTATTTTAGCATAGAGGTCGACAATTTTTTTCTGACAATCGAAATTGCTATGAAAATCTGAAAGAGTTTCTATGAGCATACAAACAAAGCTAATGAATTCTAGCAGAATCATTAGGAAAAACCCAAACTTTTCCGAACCTGTGTTCCATTATCAAGAACTGTAGCCGTAGTAGAAAAAAGGCATTCTTGTCTGTCAAGTTCACTAAAATCTGACGCCTTCAGAATAGCTGAAATAGAGCATAGAGGCATCCCATATTAAGTCTCTAACACAATAACATTGTCAACACAACCGATGCTAAGCTGTACTGCAATTTTGAGCCCACCTGTACATTGATACTTTGCTGCTTTATCTGTAGATGCGCGCAAGTAAAATAAACGGGTACTCGCTTCATCCGGTTTCAGGACATAGTACTGCTCCTGAAAATCAGTAATGCAAACTTCAGGAGACTGACTCCAGTGAGAAGATAAACGGAGCAGGGAACTTGCTGACTGATAATAAACAATAAGATGAGGCATAAAACTTGATATAGTAGGAATAAAATGTCCAGAAAAATCCTCTTAAAAAGAACATGAACTGTGCAGACTAGTCAGGCAGCTTACTGATTGCATATTGAATGTATATTTACTACATTGACTAACAACATGCTGACAAAATATAAAATCTTACGAAAACAGGTATATATGTAAAATTTGGAGTAAATCAAAATGGCACAAGTATGGCAACGGAAATGTGTACAGAAGTGCCAAACATGTAATCATGCAGACGAAAGTAAACATTACCTCCACAAAACTGATGCCACTTAAGCAGTTAAACTGCAAAAGGAGCAAACCACTGGTTAAATTTCAACAAAATCAAAGTTGGGGTTTGCAGTCGAGCTCATCTGCTACTTTGATCTCGGACTACACAGAAGACACAAAAGTTCACACTCCAGTTGGCAAGTGAAGCAAGGTGCAAAATTTCTGACAGATGCATACCGTCAAGGTATACGAAGCCTCCAGTTTACCAATATTCTTAGTTGTGACCTTTGCAGTGCCATATTGACTTAAGGCTTCAAATGTTGGAACACTAATGTTGGTTATCTTCCCTGGACTCCTGATGTGGAAGTACAACATATTAGACATTCTCCTAAATTAAATTAAAGAACATAAAAATGTAAAGAGCGGGACTTGAGAAGAAACCTAGAGTACCAACGTTTGTTTCCCTACTGTTTGTCAAACATGGCATAGATTTAAAGGGACACTTGCTATTTGGATAGCATCTATTTTTAATAGTAGGGCCGTGGTCAACAAATATAGATATGGCTGTAATAGCTAAGGCCCAGTTTAGTTCCCTCCCATTTTGCAAAAAATTTCAAGATTCCCCGTCACATCAAATCTTTGGACGCATGCATGAAGCATTAAATATAAATAAAAAATAAAACTAATTACACAGTTTAGACAAAATCCACGAGACGAATCTTTTAAGCCTAATTAGACTATGATTGGACACTAATTGCCAAATAACAACGAAAATACTACAGTGGCATTTTGCCAAAAAATTCGGCATCTAAACAGCCCCTAAATTGAAATGAGTATGAACACCTGATAAATATAAATCTGTCTGTACTTGCTAATTTGAAATGAGTGGGGCCGTGGTCAACAAATATACCTCTGATACATGTATTCTATGTCATCAGCACTCAGCTCTATCCGTAAATTGCTATTACGAACTTCTGTCACTCCAATAGAAAAAGTATGAACACTTGCATTCTGTGTAGGGGTGTGTGTCAAAAACTTGATCCAACGTTAGCAAATGAGAACAAGATAGGAAAAGAGATGGAAACATTACTGGATGTTGATTGATCCTCTGAAACCTTCCCTGCACAGCATATTGGGGCTGCTGGCTCCTGTTTATCCGATTTTTGTCAGACTGAAACATATGGGTGACAGTTTTCAAAGACTTGGCACATAATAGGAGTAATTCATTGCAAAGAGCAGATAGTGGTTTAATAAATAGGCACCTAACACTTGCTCTTTTATGGTGATCTCAGTTCTATAGTATGAAATTAATGACAAACAATCTGAATTTAAAATATGATTCAGGATATGTGTGTGTGTGAGAGAGAGCGAGAGTTCAGTGTGGTCCAGTTGCTATATTGAATCTGCCATAACCAGTGATAACCAATAAAGGCAATAGTTATCTTTGCTGCTCTTTATAGGATTGATGCACAATTTCCCATCCTAGTGCAAGAAAAAAGGGAAAAATCCAGGGGCTGTTTAGTGTTTACAATAGTTATTATATAATTACCTCCAAAAAGGTCCATAGCTGATTGTACAAACAGCTCCCAAATGCCGATGCACAGAAGTTAGGTTGGTTTTGGAAAGCCTGATAACCAACACCAATCTTGTCACATTCGATACCGTCTGTAAAACGAACTCTCTCCAACAGCATCCACTTGCTATATTCAGCACCAAGGTTTTGTGGCTCACCGCTACCAGCACCCTTCAATGTAACACATCAAAAAATGTTTTCAAGTCACATAATAGAACACTGCAAATACATTGATACAGTCAGGGTGTCTATTGTAATTTGGTGATGCACCTTCCTAGGGGTCACAAGATAGAAGTGCTCAAATGTTGGGATGCTAGTATAACTAGCAAAATCACCAATAAGATTCACTCTCAGAAAATTGTCTTTAGAAACAACAGTTCTATTCTCCGGACCAACAACAACTTCCTGCAGTACAATTGGGGAAAGATATAAAAAAACACTTCTGAAGTGAGTGACATAACAAAAAATCTACTGCAGATTAGGAGGAAAACCCCTTTAAAACAAACTTTGGTTTTATAAGTAAACACCAAAAATCACAATTTAGTTTCTAGACTAGAAAGAAAAACGATCTCAAAATAAACAAATAAGTATAAGCATAGTAAGGTTGTGGAATTTTCTAAGCATAGATCATGGTTATGTATGCTTAACCAAGCAAAAAAACTGGTATGAGCAATCTGATAATTTATGCCCTAGTCCTCACGTGATACTAGTTGGAACTCTTATGCAGAATTTCAAATCCTACCGATACAGATGAACCTTTCTTAACTTGTACCCTGATGTTGAACCCAAGTGACCATCTTCCAATTCCAAAAACATGGAACCTGTTTGTCAGAAAATAAAGGAGTATCAATACACATGTTTATTATTAGTATAATTGTATAGCCTATTGTCGTACCATACTAACTTGTATTGTATCACAAGATGTACGTACATGGCTATATATATATACATGAAAGGAACCCCCCACAATGGGTGTGTGGTGTTCCCCCACATCACTGTCCCCGCTTATTTTACATTACATTTATTCAAACTGGACCTGAACAATTAATCGAGGATACCCCAAAGTTGTAGAAGAGTATATAAGCTTATTTTACATTACATTTATTCAAACTGGACCTGAACAATTAATCGAGGATACCCCAAAGTTGTAGAAGAGTATAAGTTTGAAACGAGAAAGTATTCCCCTACTTTAAAAAATAAATAAGATCATGCCTGATTAACATAAGAAACTATATATTGTGTATCTAATAATGGAGCCACTAGTCATGTTCAGAAATTTTACAGTCAGGTCATTAAGTCATATCAAAGACATGAACCTTTATTTCAGTTAACTCAGTACATTGAGTCAAGGAATTATTAATACAATATAAACAATAGAGGTACATCACCAACAATACGTACCAGTCACCTGGAAATCGTAGACAGTGAGCCGTATTAGCTTTTCCTTTGAAAATTTTCTCAACTATAAATTAGATTGTGTGAAAGAGGTGTTAGGTCACGTACTAAAATAACAAGAAGATTAACATTATTTCTGAACTTACAAACACTTCCACAAGATGAAGGTACACGGCGGTTAGGACCACAGGGACAGCAAATAGGCTAGTGCAAGCCAAAGTAAAAGAAAACATGAGAATCACAAGGAGATTATAAATTATACAAGATATATAAGTAAAAACAAAAACAAAGGAATGTCCATCTATGTGCCTTGTTTTGGTTAATGCTAGCATGTCTCCCGCACTTTGCTGCTAGGTCACTTAAATAATGCCTACTGCCAAATCAACAATTCTCAACGTTTATAATTTCTAGTCGAGAAAGACTTAACTTTTTCATGAAAAGATGTATTACATTTTAACTAAGCACTACCTCTTCAATCAATATGTAGCTAAAAAAACCCGAGGTGTGTGTGGTGTGGTGCGAGTATGTATTGGCTATTTGAGCCTTTCTTTTCCTTATCTTAATGCAATGATACACACCTCTCCTGTGTATTCCAGAAAAAAAAAATGTAGCTAAAAAACATATATTAAATATTTAAGATTTGATACTGATAGTTGATATATCTTTTTCGAATTTGACCGAGTATCAAGGGCCAATATTTTAGAGGTGACACTGGGCACATCAGCACATGGCATAGAGTGGATCTTAAACTAGGAGCCGATTTCTTAAGGAAACTCAATCAATGCAGAATAGGAGGTTAAATACTATCGTACTATATACTGAGGAAATACAAAGCATATAGGTAAAATTGTTCTCACCTCTGAGTGCTGAATCATAGAACCGTTCTCATACCATAACCTGGCCATAATCATAGAAAAAAAAAACAGCATTGGCGTTTAAACAGAATTGGGAATGCTAAGTAAATTTAAAGAGTCTACCAAAAAAGCTCATATATATGACCCATGAGTACAAGTATCTACCGGAAGGCTTGCATTTTTTTAAACAAAATGAGCAGTACAGACTTCCAAAATTTCTAAGAAACTTTGCTAAATAAAAGGAAATGGGTTTGCCGATATCTACTACTCTTCATTCCAAATTATATGTTGTTTTGGCTTTTCTAAATGTATTGAGGGAGTAATTGAAAAAACAAGAATAAATGGGAATCGCGAAATACAATACCTTTCACAAGCTCCAACAACATCAGCACCAGCATCTGGTTCACATTTGCGTGTCTCGACAAACTGTTCCTCAGGTTTGTAAGCAACATCCTGAAGAGACAAACAAAGAAGAAAGGATCGAGTAATAGTTGAATACACTGGTCCGAGAAATAGTAAAAAAAGACTGCAGCCATATCTGAACCAAAACGGCCGAGCAAGTCAGTAAACACGCATGAAGCTTTCACACAAATGGATTGTTATCACAAGTTCACAACCAAAGGCACAATTAACATGTAGGTTTCCTGAAACCAGGCCCCTTCAAGTGATAGCAAAGCACATCGAATGGGTATCAGAACCTTCCAGAGATTCTCTAATCGCACTCGCAAGTCCCAACCCGGTAACACGTCAAATCTTTCTGAACGTGAGCCTGCTACAAAACCATCACACATTTCTCGAACCAACTCGTCAAAAGATTGCTGGAACAGCCATAGATTGAGAAAATCGCTAAGACCTTACCATTAGTATGTTCTGCTCAAACGCCAATGAAAAGACCCATTCTCCTAATCCAAAACCTATCGACACACAGAACCGTGCAACTTCCACGTTGTGTAAAGGTACAAGGATGCATCGTAGTAAATGGATTATATGATCAAAGGCCACATACAAAACAACAACGTTGTCATCAGAAGAGAGCACGAGCAAAGGGTTTACCCTGATGTAGTTGAGGGCGTAGAGCGCGAACACGGCGCCCTTGTTGACGGTAATGACAGGGGGATTTCTTATGGTCTTCGTCTGCTCCGTGTCGTTCACGTGCGCGACCTGCGCGACCAGCGACGCCTCCCCGCCGCTCTGCACCCAAGACACACACGCATACGGCACGCCAGCGCCGTCGTCGCAGCCGTCACTCAGAACACATATACAATTCGGATGCGGCGGGAATGCCGGGTGTGGAAGAGGGAGTAGAGGCGCTTACGGATTCGCTGGGGACGGCCATGTCGACGACGACCTTTCTGTCGCAGGAGAGGCGGCCCCCCGCGCCCGAGTCGTCAACGCAGCTCTCCAGGAGGGACTTGGCGAGGACCTCCACGGCGCCTGCGCCGCCGGCAGTGAGGAGCACGAGGAGGAGGACGGGGAAGACGGCGGGGAGAGGGGAGCGAGGAGGAGCCATGGAGGTTGCCGCCGGCGAAGAAGCGTTGAGCACACAAGTGGGCTGCGGATTCTGCAACTGCTAGTCTCTTTTTTTTTTTTGGGGGGGGGGGGTCGAAAAAACAACTTGGAACCGAGCGCCCTGGCGGGTAACCGTTTCTGTGGACTGTGGAGTGAACTTCTCTTTTGTGGGACGCGAGTTTGTGGCACGCACAAGTGGCAGGCAGAGGTGGCATGGGCGGCGCCAGGGGTATTCCCCTGTATGCCATGGAATACCCAAGATTCTGCAAACAAACACAAATACATATACATTACATATACATTGTGTTTGGCGGTGGCACGATGGCAAAGGCGTCGCCAGCTCCAGCGATTGTTGCGTTGCGTCGGCGTCGCAACCAACGACCAAAAAGCTGATGGCATGCATGCATTGGCATTGCTCAACCGAGAGCTTTTGCTCTTGCCTCAGCAAGTCTGCGCAGCTCTGCTTCGAATCGAAAAAAAAAAAAAAAGCTTTTCTTTTTACAAAGCAGCAGAGAGACAGAGTGGCGACAACACGCCCGTGCCTCATCTTGGTACTGCATGCATTCATGCTTGTAGGATTTTATCTTTGCCATGACGCCACCCACCGCGCATTCATCAATACGGACGATGCAAAGCGTGTCCACCTCGGAAAACGTGGCAGATCGCCTCGCCGTCATGTTTCGATGTTGAGTGCGAGCTTTTGCATTGCATTGCATGCACACGGGCATCTTTTCAGATCCGCCACAAACCATGGCAATTGGTAACTGGGCAAGCATGATGATGGTCCATGGACGACGAAACAGAGCAGCAACAACAACAAAAACAGAGGATGCTCTGCGTGAGTACAAAGACTTGACACGGATCAAATCGAAACCAGAGGAAAAGAAAAAATCACCACATGATGAAGTAACAAACAGTATTGGTTTAACATCCTTTACACCAAACAAAAAAGGGTCGCATCGTTTTTCTTTTCACAGTTTCCCAACTTGCATATCACAATGTGTACATTTCTTAGGTGCGTAGACGAAAAGTTTAAAAATTTGAAGAACCTACGCTGAGCTTTCAGTCATGCTTGTTAGCACAAAAGACATGAGTAATATTATGTTGTCTACAAGCTTCTTAAGTTGGTGCTAATTTTGCTATAGCCACGGCTAGTGTTGGGAGAGTGTTTTCCACCATGAATTATGTAAAGAACAAGCAAATGAATAAAATGGGTGATGAATATTTTGAACAATTGCCTGGTCACATTTATTGAGAGAGAATTCTTCAGTCAAGTGAAAGATGATGATATCATTAATGAATTCCAAAAAGAGGATCGTAGAGTTCAATTTTAATAGTTTTGAGCTTTTGATGTTTTGTAATCTTTCTTAATTATTATAGACAATGGCACTATGCTACTATGTTCAGATCTTGTACTTTGATTATTACTATTGCACATTTGCATTAATTTTTTTTTATACGCGGAATAACCAGCTGTGAAATCCTGGCTCCGCCACTGAGAGGTGGGACTTGGGCCTTGCCGTGGGCACAGTATGGCCTCCAATGCTTCGTGCTGTTTCGGATGGTGACCAGTCATGTACGTACGTCGGAAAGTTTTTTTTTTCGGCTCAAGCATGGCCAACAGCACATCAACACATCTTCTTGCTACACCAGCCCAAACACGGTCCTCAATATATTTTTATAGTTTTCTTTGCCAGTTCGTGACAAAAAAAATATTTTATATGAACTATTTTTCTGAAAGTTTTAATGATTTTTATAATTTATTCAAGAATTAGATGAGATGCAATATGGTAAATACTAGAAAATTACATCGTAGCATTGTAGATATACTTACATGCTTATGTTCGTGCGGTGCCAGCCCGAGCATAGCCCAAAATACGGGCAGGGCCTGTAGTATATCGTGTCGAGATTATAGGCACGACACGGCCCGTAATATTTCCGTGTAGTGCTGTTCGGGACTGCCAAAAGACCATGCCACGGCACCGCTCTCAAATGGCACAATCAAATCCCAACTCTAGTGGCAGGCGGGTGGTTTTTTTTTTTTTGCCACCGTGGACATTTGGATGGACGCTTGCCACATCCCGCAGCGTCGCTGGTCATGGTGGTGCAGTTTTGGGTTTTATAGTTGAGGGGGTTTTAGTCAACCCTTCGTATGTTAGGGGTCATGTAGACTTTTTCACTATTGTTTGCTGATTTAATGTCATGTGAGCGCCCACACAATATGCACGTCGGTGAAACCATCTTCAAAATCATCTCAGGGGGTTATTAGATGGGTTTTCAATAATTTAAAAGGTAGAATATCTGATTTGTAGGGGGTAAAGTAGACAACTACTAATAGTTTAGGGTTAAGTAGACTTTTTCCAAAAGCTTAAGTTGATGGGACGAGAAGAGGTGGGAAATTCATTTATATTTCAACACTTTCCCTCGTACGGAGGGGGAGGTGGACAATTTACTTCTACTTCAACACTTCTCCTCACATAGAGACTTCCTCAGGTCTTAGATGTGGGCTAGGAGCAAGCAAAATTACTTTATTTAATTGCGTTAGAAGGATTTGAAGTCGAGACCTTTAGCTTTAATACCATATATTTAGTTCATCGTCTACACTCAACATAACCGCCACACTCGGTTGAGCGGAGGAGCAGACAAAGACAACAGACCTGTTTGGTTGGTGCCGTAGTTTGCCATGCCTCAACTTCGGCAAATTGTGGCTGCCACAAAGTGTGGTGAGCAAAATCGAAGCAACACTTATGGCAAGTTTGACACAAAAATAAGTCTATGACGTGTGGGACATGATGCTAAAAAGTGTGGTGCGCTATTATTATGGCAATAACAGTTGTCCAAAAACTAGGACATAACTAACCTCTGGTGTGGCAAGTTTTGATAAACAAAGCCTGGAAGTGAACAGGCCAGAGATCGGTTCCTGCGGCGAAAATCTGAACTTAGAGACAGATCCTATCTTTCGAAATTAACTTTCAAATTTCGTCAAACGATCGGTTTCAACCAAATCTCCTTAGCAGAACTCATTTGATAGATGGATAATGAAGGCTGAAGACCTGATAAATAAAACTGAGGAAAGCTGCAAAAATTTTGACGACCAAAGCGCCGTCCGTGGGGATCGAACCCACGACCACGTGGTTAAAAGCCACGCGCTCTACCACTGAGCTAGGACGGCTTGTTTGCTCGTTTTAAAATGTTCCTCGTTTTATTTGCTAGAACACCGCACTGCATTTTACTGGCCAATTAAACAATAGACACTAGCATCATAAACAACAATTTTGAACAGGTATCAAGCTCGAGTTATAAACATACAGCCCTCAACAAAGCAGTTTACAGAGACAAGGAAACTCCAACCCAGTAAAGAACAAAGAACTTGTTCATATCTACAGACAAACAAACATAAAAAATGGTCTTCTGAATCTGAATACTACATATTTCGCCGGAGAGTGTAACAGAAAACTGAGGTGTCTAGGTGTTGCACTTCCACTTAGATGTTGGCACGCAGTTCAGGTAGTGGCACCAGTGGCAGCCATCGTTCCCATTCTTCCCTTTGAAAAGCATCACCAGTGAAATCACAAACCTGCGCCACAAGAATTTTGACATCAGTATCATTTCAAGCTTTCACAAAAACAAGTAACATCTTAATAGCTAAGCAAAATTTAGCACTACGAATCTTTGCAGCAACATTTTCTGCAATACATGTTTAAACACGTAAAGACATGTCTACAACAAATATCCGAACCAGTCTGATGGATTTACTTACCCAACTAACAGCAAGACGAGTGCCACAACCCACAAAATATACTGGTATGCTTTGTACTTGGGAGGTTGGTTAGTCTGTGGCAACTCATGGCGCTCCATCCAGCTAAATTGAGGCCTTGCCAACAGAACAAAACCCAAGAGGAAACCCGTCGCGAATCCACCAATGTGTGCAAAGTTGTCAACGTGAGGTAGTATCCCAATAGCTAAGTTAAGTGCAATAATAAACAGGAGTGTTATTATAGCTGCTGCCTGCAAGAGCAAATTAAGTATATGAGCTAAACGATTATCAAGCAGCTGGATATAAATGAAGTATATATTTATCTATTGCTTGTACTGGCCTTGTTGGAGTATATAGTCCAGTTCATGAGTAGTTCAGAAAGCATGGATCCAAGCAGGCCAAATAAAGCTCCAGAAGCACCAACGGAGATGTTGTTCCCTAGGAAGAGTGCAGACAACACGCTGCCACCAAAACCAGACAGTAGGTATATGGCACCAATGCGAACTTGCAGGCAGGAAAAACAGTGTCAGTGAAATGACCATGTAGGGCGAATGATAGGAACATTTAACTTCAATGAATGGTTGGATCGATGTTAGTGTACGATGATTTTTTTTTTTTGAAAAAAAACTTACCAAATCCAAATTGCTGCTCAAGGCGGATTCCAATAAACAGCAAACTTAGCATGTTCACAACCAAATGGATTAGGCCAGCATGGAGCCAGATGCAGCTAATAAGGCGCCACCCTTGGTTTTGATGAACAATTTTATTCCAGTCAAGAGCTCCCATTTTCTCCAAACTGGCAAATAAAAAAAAGTGTTAATACAATCATCCCATAGATCTTGCACTATCTTACATGGGCAGTGTAATGTAGATGAAATTCGCAAGGATAAAACACAAAAGCCTCATGGCTACTTCGCAGCAATCCCAGTAAGTTACATAAAAAAATTGCAAATGCTGCGCAAACAGGTAACTCCAGGACAAAACACAAAATTTATGTCATGGAATATTTACTGCTAATAAGGAGCATTAAATATAGATTAATTATAAAACAATTATATCCCAGTGCATAAGTTATCAGTAAAAAAAAATCATTGCATACATGCAAGTACGGCCAAACAGGTAACTCCAGGGAGTGTTATTATCTCAGCACATGTTCTGCAAAGGCCAAAAGTAAAACAAAGGCCCTTACACAAGTCAAACTAGTCCCATGATTCCATCAACAATAGAACATGAAAGATAATAGTACTATATTACAGGATACACAAGTCAAACTAGTCCCATGATTCCATCAACAATAGAACATGAAAGATAATAGTACTATATTACAGGATACTGCGCCTGCTACATAGCCTCCGACAGAAGTGTCAAAACTTAAAAGCATCCATCGTTAATTCATTACTAACAGCCTCTGTGATTTCGGTATCAAATGACTCCAAATAGATAACATCTAGGCAATTTTCATTGTGTTCATTTATTTATCAAGTTGATTGGACAAATAAATCGAAATCGCAAGATTTTAGGAGAACAGTTGAAGGTAGGCGCGACGGATATCTGAACGCAGTCACATCGAAAACTCCCCTGCCTCGTGGACTTCTAAACCATTAAAAGGTGAAAAGGACTTAACTCAAGGAATAAGGCAATTCAAGCTTTAGACTTTATAAGCACAAGATCTTAGTCTACAATCCTTCCAGACCACAATCTTCGAACGGCAACAGAAATGGTCAAAGGTTTCCTCCCACTAAAACTTTACCCAACAAAATTGCCTTCTCTTACCCAAACAAAATCCAAATTTTGCTCAGAAATTAGCTGCAAAGATGGTAAATTCCCAAGTTTCCGCTACTGGTACCATCCCTATCGAACCGCAAGATCCCAAACGCGAAATAAATCCATCTCCCTCCACCTAATTCCACCTGAAGCACACCCAAAACACTCTAATTGGGATCCTTCCTATTTGGTACCACGGCAGCACAGGTCAACAAAACCAAAGCTTGTGCAGCGACAACGTACGTGGAGGATGACGGCCCGAGCAGCGGGTTCTCGCGGAGCGGCTGGAAGGAGAAGCGGCGGAGGAACCCGGCGACGCAGCCGCCGAACTGGCTCCCGTGCTTGGGGCAGTTGTTCTCGTACATCTCGACGACGAACACGGCGATGCAGGCGACGATCACGGTGGGCACGAGCCACGGCCACCATTTCCGGTCCTCCGGCCCCTCGTAGCCGCCGTACCCGTACCCGTACCCGTACCCTCCCCCCGGCGCCGTCGCGATGCGGCCCTTCCCGTCGCCGTCACTCGCCATCGCTTCTCCTCCTCCTTCCTCACGCCTGCCCGCTTGCTTTCCTCCTTTTTCGCCTGCTTCAGTGGAGTGGAAGCCAAGGGGTCGCTCAGCGGCTCAGGTGGTGGTGGTGGCTGTTGCCGCTCGCTGCCGCTTCGGGTGTCGCTTGGAAGCGAGGAGGCAGGAGGGGAAGGCTGGCGAAAGATGATGAAATGGTGCGGGTGCGGTGCAGCTGGGCTGGGGGCGCCCACGACAGCGACCGTTAAGGCCCGCGGTCGGTGGGCCGCCGTCAGGCTGGCGCGCTGGGCCCGTGGGGTGCCGGGACCACCGGGCGGTCAGACGTTGCTGTCCGCTGCTGGAGCAGTTGGGGTTTCACCTCGGAGGAGCGAGCTAGTGGGGTGGGGTGGAGTAACTGCTCTGCTTGAAGAAGAAGGGAAACCCGGACCGAGATGAGCTGAGCCGAAACCCGAGAGCGGCAGGTCCTCTGATCCTCTCGCTCGCGCTCGCTGAGCGGATTACGGCGTCGCCGGGGGGTACATGCGCGTGGCGTGGCGTGACGTGACGTCGCGACGAGGAGGCGCAAAACGTGTGGAAGGCTGGAGGCGCAGGAGCTGCGGCACGCCACGGCACCGCCAGCGATTCGTGGGCGAGCGAGCGCCGACGCCGAGAGCGCGTTGAGGTGACGCTTTGTCGCCGGGCCAGGAGCTGGCGTGCCACGCCTTCGCGCTCGTACGCGCAGGACCGACTTCTCGCGCCCGCCGTCGGCTTCCGTAGCTTTACCTGGTCCGGTACGGCACAGACGGGGTAGGTAGACCTCTCGTAGTCGTACGCGAACTTCTATTCAATTTTGCTGACGCTGCTCGTTCCTCTCCTCCATGGGGGATTGCCGGATTGGGGCATTGGGGGCGAGGGGCGAGGGGCGCCCGGTGCTGTCAGTCTGTCACCGTGAATGGGATCGATCTTTCGTTGTTATTTGGTAATTAATGTCCAATCATAGTCTAATTAGTTTTAAAAGATTCGTCTCGTGAATTTTATCTAAACTATGTAATTAGTTTTATTTTTTATTTATATTTAATGCTTCATGCATGCGTTCAAAAATTCGATGCGATAGGAAATCTTAAAAAAATTATAAAATTTTGGAAAATAAACAGGCACTTAGCTTCGCGTTGCGTTGCGGCCGACCGGGACATAACTGTGGGAGATCCAGCTTTTTTGTGGGGAACTTGTGCCGTTGGTCCATGCCGTCCGGCGCTGCATTCACGCGGATGCACAGTGCGCAAAGTGGACGCCGCTATTGCGTTACGGCTCCTGCCTCGTGGCCGTCGTCCCGTCGCGCCTTGCAGTTGCTTTTGCACGCAGCCACGCACACAAGCCGGCCGTGGGCACGGACGAGCGTCGTGGTCGGGAGGTCACCGCGCGCGCGCGCGCCTGGCGATGCATCGATGCGCGGTCGCGTCAGCGCAGCATATGGAGCGTACGCGGTCCGCTGTCCGTACCACACGACAGCACTGTCGCATCGCCCTGACCGTCGGTGGCCGCTCATTGCGTCGCATCGTCGTCAGAATAAGATCCATGCAGGCTGCAGCTATGCTTCCACAGTCCACAGCACTATGGCCACTAGCCAGCGCCCAGCGGCATCGCCATGTGGGACTGTCAGTGAGCTTGCATTGCCGTTTGCTACCCTAGGGCTTGTTTAGATTGAGGTTAGAAATTAGTATTTGACATTGTAGTATTTTCGTTTGTATTTGATAATTATTGTTCAATCATGGTTTAATTAGGCTCAAAAGATTCATCTCGTAATTTACAATCAAACTGTGTAATTAGTTATTTTTTATCTACATTTAATACTCCATGCATGTGTCCAAAAATTTGATGTGATGAAGAGAGAGTGAAAAAACTTGCAATCTAAACAAGGCCCTAGCTTCCACGTCGCCCATCTCGCACGGTGGTGTTTAAGGGCTTTTTTATTCCTCCCAAAAAATTTACACATTATCCTATCGAATGTTTGACATATGTATGAAGTATTAAATATAAACTAAAAAAATAACTAATTGCACATATTGTGACTACTTTACGAGACGAATTTTTTAAGCCTAATTAGTTCATGATTTGACAATAAAGTGCTACAGTACACACATGTGCTAATGATAGATTAATTAGGCTTAATAAATTATCTCGTACTGACGGATTCTGTAATTTATTTTTTTATTAGTATCCGAACACCCCATGTGACAGCCGATGTGAGACCCCAAAACTTTACACCTTGAAACTAAACGAGGCATAAATCCAAGGGTTAAAGTTTAGAGGTGTCATATGGGGTGTCGAGTATTCGGAGAGTAATAATAAAATAAATTACACAAGTCCTCAGTAATCCGCGAGACGAATTTATTAAACCTAATTAATCCATTAATAACATATGTTTACTATAACACCACATTGTTAAATTATTGACTAATTAGACTTTAAAAATTCGTCTCGTAAAGTATTCATAATCTATGTAATTAGATTTTTTAATCTATATTTAATATTCTATATATGTGTTCAGATATATGATATACGATGTGATATGGCCTAAATTTTAATAAGGGAGTAACTAAGGCCCGCGTGCCTGTTTTCTTTTGCTCCTCGACAGCGATAGCTCCGATGCATAGCTGTGAGCACGATGCCACCACGAAAGGCCAACTGGACGAGCAGTGACTTCTCACTTTCTTTCACCACGTCAGCTAGGCTAGCTGCCATGCTCGGCAGCTGGTACTCGAGTATCACTGTATCAGTGCTCAATCAGGCAACCGCAACCACCTTGCAGCAAGCTTGTGCACTTGTGACGTGAGTGGTGTGCCTAGCTATCCACATGGCAGAAATGGCTTTGTGCAGAGTGCAGACCGTCCGTCCACTCAAAGTCTCTGTAAACCGTTGCCACTTGCATGGTAAAAGCTGTGCGCTGACGACGTCCCAACGCTTCAATCATTTCCACGCGGCAAGCTGTTGGCCGGTTGGGTACATTCATTTCTGCAATTTTGACGGCCGTTACTTCGCTGGAACAAAACGGCATTGTTCCAGGGAGGAGCTACGTCAAGATCCATACGGGTGATGTTCCTATGTCTGCCAATTTCATTTAAATATATCCATGCGTTAACATTCGGTAATAGTTTGAATTTGAGATTTCCCTCTGTTACAAATTACACGACATGTTTTGTTACTTTTAACCAGTGTTATCCTAAACGCTAAACGGTAAACAGTCGGTCAGCTACCGTTTAGCCCATTATTCGGGCGAAAACGGGTGTTTAAACGGGGAAAACGGCCGTTTAAACGGTCAAAACAACCGATTAAACGGAAACAGTGTACCACCGTGTAGCGTTTAAACGGTGTGTAAACGGGCTAAACGGCCGTTTAGGTGAACAATGCTCTTAACACCATCCAAGATTGATTGATATGGTGCCTAGTCACATATTGTAAAATATCAACATTATACTCCTTCTGTTCTAAATTATAAGATGTTTTTGTTGTATCTTCTGTTCTTGCTCACTCCAACTCGATTTTGGTTGTCGAGCCCTATGCTCTGCTGCTAGATAGTGAGCAATGCCAGGCGCTCCGTGACAATAGTGGCGGCTACTCCAACTCCTCTGAACCCTTCCCCCAGACCAAACAGGTAGCACACTGCCATGTCTGCTTCAAGAAACGCCATACGACAGCTGAATTTTTGTACCGCTGCAATTCAGATTATGTCCCGACCCAAGCCTTGTTGTTGCAACCCATTGTGTGGATTACAATTGGCATGGTGACACGAGGGGATACAAACCAGGATACAAGGGGACTTAACAAGCTTGTGATACATGACCGCTACATCGACAACAATTAGATCACGACTGCTAATGGGGCAGGTATGGATGTTCATCGCATTGTTAAATCCATTTATACACCCTAGTCACGATCTGTTCCCTCACAGTGTCCTTCATTTCCTCCAAACTAAAAAAAATCTTGTCTCGATTCATCACTTTACCAATGATAACAATGCCTTTGTTGAGTATCACCCTGATTTTTTTCTTGGTCAACGATTAGGACAAAGACAATCCTTCTACGCACCAGATGTAGAGATGATCTCTATCCCTTTGCAATGCCACCATCAATAAACGAGTCATGCATATCACCATGGAGTCTCTCACATGTTGGCATACTTGGCTTGGTCACCATGTGCAGGCACTTTAGAAGATAGGATACTCAACTCATCTTACACGTAGGAGTGTTGAGGTCAAGAGAAGACCAAAAGATCCAAGAAGGAGGAAGCAAGAGGCTTTGCTGGCAATTCAAGAATGGGTGAGTGGAGAATACATAAGCTCAAGTTCAAATGATGAGTCAAGCAAACCACCCGCTCCCCTAAGCCAAGCCTCTTCGCAAAGTCATCACCAACATGCACCATGGCTATAGGTAAGAAAAGCAAAATAAGTGATGAATCCTCTAATCATGAAGAAAACCTACTTGACTTGCTCTGTGAACAAGAGAGGCTCTTAATTAAAGAAACAATCTAAAGAAATTTGTTACCATTTGCTATATTACTCAAAGTAGTTGAAGAATTCAATGCTACCTTTGTCACTCATTATGAATCACTGTGAACAAATTTAATTCGTTAGACAAGGAGCATTGTGAACTTAAATCAAAATTTGAGAGCAATAATACAATGAGCCTTTCTTGTGCATGAATATACCTCTTGCTCAATTCCTATCTCTAGGGTAGATGCCTCCACATTTTTGTGATCTAATCACTTGCAATTAAGTTTGTGTTGAGAAAGTTCTTGTAGAAACTTATGATGACTATTGTGGAGGAGAATGACAAGCTCATGCAAGAGGTGGAGAGCCTCAAGAAGGTGGCCAACTTGAAGGGCAAGCACACCTATGTCTCGCACAATTATTTATTGCCCATGGCTTCCTTCACTTTACTGATCCCTTCGTTCTAAATTATAATTCACTACTTCACTGTTCACACTAATTCTATTCTAAATCAAAATTATCTAACCCTACTGGATTGTGTAAAAAATATATATACGGATATACAATACAAAATCATTTTATTAAATTCTCCATATAAACCATGTCTTGATACTTCATTTATATGAACTCGCTAATTTTGATATATTTTTCTAAAGGCCTAGCTAAAGCTAAAGAAGTTAGATTTAAATGCTAGAACAAAAGTAAAGTGAACTATAATGTACAATAACCGTTTAAGATAAATTGTTTGAATCGTGGTGAAGAATTCCTCGCTAACCTATGAGTTTGCCTGTCACTCTAGCCTCTTATTCATGGAGGTACCCTTATTATGTATTAGAAGCATATCCCGAGCGTTACTACGGGAATCACGAATAATTTTTTAATAGACAGTGTGATATGCTGACGTGGACAAATAAATGCATGTTAGTGTGGATGACACGGTTTGCTCACGTGGATAGCTTGCATGAATAGATAGGTGTCATAATTACATATGTTAGTGAGCTGATAATGTTGATGACTTGCATATGTCGAAATAGAATTCTTGTGGGGATTAGCTTTATAATAAACTAGAAGCATACCCCGCATGTTGCAACGGGAACTGTGGATTGGTGGATTACGTGGCATATTGACATGGAGAACAAAATACTTATGTGTCCTGCTAACATGGATATTACAATTACATGTGCTAGTGAGTTTTAATTGCATGTGACAGTGTGCTACTGAGGCGAACAACTCGCACGTGAGATACATAGCTAGTAGGGTTTATAAGAGATATGGATTTGCAAAGTACCAAAGTAACGAGGACAGTAGCTGCGTACCTTAGCTTTTGTTTTGTTAAGAAAACTTCTTTGCCATTGGAAGTTTGGAAACATGCTTATGTTATTTTAATGATGAAATAAATAAATTCTATCCTATACAGCTATCTTCCATCCGTTGCAAAATAAATCAATTCTTAAAACCATTCTAAATCAAACTGTCTTAAGTTTAACTAACTTTATAGAAAAGGGTAATAATATCTATGTGATCAAATAAATACATTATGAAAATATATTTTATGATGTATAGCTAGCAATACTAATATGATATCATAAATATTATAGTTTTTTATTATAAATTTAGTTAAAATTAAAATAGTTTGACTTGGGACAACTCTAAAAGTTAATCTAATTTAGGACACAGGAGCACATCTAAAGAGACTTTTGGCTGTCCATTATTACAATAAATGCACCAACAGAAAAGAGCAAAGGTAATAGTTCTTTTAATGAAAGTGCTAAATCAAAGGACAAGCATGTGCTGTTACCAAATCCGGTTGCTAAACTTCCAACCGCGACAAGTGAAGACCTCCCTAATTATTGTATCCAGAGCGGAACCTCGTTGAGTGAATGTCTGTGAACACTAAAACCGGATTAAAGGCATGTTTGATACACGTGTAGCTAGTTACTAGTTGAGGCTAAAAATAAGCTAAAATAGCTATAGTTGGCTAGCTAGTTAACTAGCAGTTAGCTAAGAAATTAGCTCATTTATTAGCTCTCCTATTTAGATGCGCTAGAGCTAATTTTTAGCTAGCTAGTAATTAGCTCATGTATACAAATAGACTCTAAATAAATAAACTTTTTTCTTATCAAACATAGCAATATTGTTCCGACTAAGGGTTTGTTTAGGTACACATGGCTAGTTATTGGTTAGAGCTAAAAAATAGCCCAAATAACTATGGTTCACTAGCTAGCTCGCTAATAACTAGTTGAGGACTTATTAAAAAATTAGTATACATATTAGTTCTCTTGTTTGAATGTACTAAAGCTAATTTTTAGCTAGTTTACAATTAGCTCTTGTATTCAAACATGTAAATCACCTTGTCTAGCATAGAACGCTAAAACCAGTCAAGATTGGAAATGTGCCTATGTTCGAGCGAGTGTATATCGATTTGTTTTCAAATGTCAGGCTTCTTATGATTGTTTGCATAGTTTGATTCCACCATTTGTTTTATTGTTTTTTTAGAATCATTTGTTTTATGAAAAAATTCACATTACCTCTCTCAACTTCTGCGAAAGTCTATTTTTCCTCCCTGAACTCTAAAACCGGGTAAACTACTTCCCTGAACTTTTAAAACCTTTCATTTTACCTCCCTGACCGGTTACAAGCGGTTTTCAAAGGTGGTTTGTCTTTTTCTTTTTTATATATTTTGGCTGAATCTTTGAAAAAACATAGTAAATCACAGAAAAATCATAAAATGGAAAATCCAAATTTTTTGGACTCCACATGAGTAGATCTACACAGTGAACATATAATATGTTATGCTTTAGTACAGTTTTTTGTTGTAGCTTTAGATTTATGTTTTTCTATAACGAATTCATAGCTGCAGTTTCTATGGTCCAATTGTGGTGAAATTTTTATGGTGGGCTAATTATTGTATGTTTGAACTGTAGTAAAAATTTCATACTCATTGGATCATGTATAAATTAGTTATATAGTTCAAGCATACAGTAATTAGCCCACCATAAAAAATTCACTACAATTGGACCATATAAACTGCAGCTATGAATTAATTATAGAAAATCATAGATCTAAAGGTGCAACAAAAAATTTATACTAAAAGCATACCATATTATATGTTCACTGTGTAGATCTACTCATATGGAGGCCAACAAAATTAGATTTTTTATTTTATAATTTTTCTGTGATTTACTATTATTTTTCAAGATTCAGCTAAAATAAATAAAAAAGAAAAAAACAAAACCGCCTATGAAAACAGCTTATAACCGGTCAGAGAGGTAAAACGAACGGTTTTAAAAGTTCAGAGATGTGGTTTACCCGATTTTAGAGTTCAGGAAGGAAAATCAGACTTTCGCAAAAGTTGATGAGGTAATGTGGACTTTTTCTTTGTTTTATTGTTGAGATAAATATTTTTGAGAGGGCTTATTTTCAAATGTAAAGCTAAAGACCCCGCCTCTCAGGAAGCGGCCCAGAACTAAATGCGGCCTGTACCAACTCAGCCCAGCTAAAGGCCTGACCCAACCCAACACTTCATCCACCCTCACCGGCGAGGTCAGTCACCTCCCCCTTGCAGAATCCCACCCAAGTCTCGATGCTCCGCCGCATAGCAGCCCTCCGGCCGCCGCCGCGGGCGGCCGCACCGGTGGGGGCGATTGCGGCGCCCTATTCCTCCAAGTCCACGTCCATCCCTCAGAAGCAGCAGCGCGTCCGAGACCATGCCTTCGACGGCATCATGGAGGTCCAGAAGCGCGTCCGCCGCTTCCACGCCCTCTACTCCCTCCTCCTCTACGCCGCCGCCCCCACCGTACCGTCCCGCGCCGGCGGAAGCGGCGCCGTGTCCGTCCCCTTCACCCGCCTCGGCGCCCTCGCGCGCCGCCAGCTCCGCCTCGCGCCCCTCGACGCTGGCCGCTTCCTCCTGCGCCACGCGCACGCCTTCCACCTCTTTCTCCACCCCGTCCACCGCATGCTCCACATCCGCCTCACCCCACGCGCAGCAGCGGCGCTCGGCGCTGAGGCCGACGACATCGCCGCCGCGCTCCCCGGCGCCTCCGTCCTACGCCTCCGCAAGCTCCTCCTCCTTGCACCCCCGCACCGCCGTCTCCGCCTCGAGCACATCCACCTCCTCCGCCGCGACCTCGGTCTCCCAGACGATTTCGCCGAATCTATCATCCAGTCCAACCCATCCCTCTTCCGCCTCACCCCTGACGGCTTCGTCGAATTCCTGCCGTCCCCCACCGACCCGCCCGACCTCACCGTCGCTGCCGTAGAGCGCGCTCGGGAGCGCCACTACCGCGAGCACCGCGCCCCCGGCTCCGCCGAGGAGGACGCGCGTTTCGCGTTCCCCATTCGTTTCCCGCCAGGGTTTAAGATCGGCAAGTACTTCCGGATCGCTGTGTGGAAATGGCAACGGCTCCCCTACGCTTCACCCTATGCAGACGTCACGGGCCATGACCTGCGCTCGCTTGAGGCACAACGCCGCATGGAGAAGCGCGCGGTCGCTGCTGTCCATGAGCTTCTCTCGCTCACAGTTGAGAAGCGCACCACATTGGAGCGCCTTGCGCTGTTCCGCGACGCACTCGGTGTGCCCAAGAAGATCAAGGAGTTCTTGCTGAAGTACCAGGGCATATTTTACATATCCACGAGGGGGAATCAGGGGAAGCTGCATACAGTGTTCCTCAGGGAGGCATATTACAAAGGGGAACTTGTTGAGACAAATGCAATACATGATGCAAGACGGAAGCTGGAGGAGCTGCTCATGATCAGCCCACAGAGGGCGAATTTGGACAGAATGTTCACCAGCATGGGTCGTGGGTGGGATCAACTTGGTGGCGGCCGCCGTGGTGGATCTGAACTGAGGGATGAGTTTCTTGGCGATGGAGGTGGCCAGAAAAAGAATGCTGACGCTTATGGTGCTGAGAGTGGAGACGACTCGGGTGTTGAATCACTGTACATCGAGTGAGAAATAGAATCATATGAAGGCTCTGGACATCAACTTGCAAGCTTGATTCTGAGCAGGCACCCTGTTCCCTTTGGAAAAGGTTAACTTCTTGCATTGGCGTCATCACCGCTGTGTCGTGATTTGAAGGGATGATTTTTCCTTTTGAAGGGATCATTTGAAAGATCTGCTCTTAATGGTCAGTTACATAGTTTTATTTTTAGTGGGCAGTCACCACAATGATTCAAGTTAGAACATCAGAAATTAGGGCTGCCAATCTTATAGAAGTATAGCATTTCTAGCTAATTGGTCAGCTATAAAGTTCTTTTCTGTAGGAATGTGGTATAAATTTCCTCTTATGTTCATATCCATGATGGTGCCTTTTCTCCAATCCAGAGTAATATCACATTGTTCCTTCATACAGGTGATGAGTTCAGAACTATCAGCAAGGAAATCACATTCATGAACCTGCAATGAGTCAATAATAAGATGGAGACCGAGGAAAAGGCTAAAGGCCTCCGCATGAACGGGAGGATTGGCTTGAGAAGTTTTTGCCTGAACCTATAATCTACAAGGGGACTGGAAACGACGATATGTTCTGTAAATGCCTAGACCAGTCTCCTGGCAACTGGCATTGATGTATGAGGCATCAGACCTGCAACAACAGAAAGGGAACCACGTTGTTCATAGTGACTATTGCTTCAAGGATTCTGAAACCTGTTGCCAGATATTTGTTGTTCGACAACACAAGCTTTGTATTGAGCCTTGCCTTTTGCACAGCCCTGAAAAATGATAGAGTGGATAGGCCACTTTTTTTTTCAATATCATTATCATCAGAACAACTCAGGTCAGTAGGTCACTGCAGGAAATCAGATTTTGATAGCTAGAGGAGAAGCAAACCAAACTGCTCTAGCAAAAACTACAATGGAACAAAAGATACCATTTTCAACCATATTGTAGTGTGCACAGTTGGAACTTTGGGAGTAATATCTTTAATTCTTCTGTGTACACTTTGAGCATTGGGAATATTTTTTTTTTTGTGAGGAGCCTCCAGACAAACATTTGAACTCAACAAAGGATTTGGTTATTGCTCCATATTAAATCAATGACAGCCTCTGTGTGATTATGACGGTGAAGATTACTTGCATTTAAGTCATTTTTTCTAGTTGTAGGATCTGCATAATGTTATTTACAAAATCTGGACAAAAAAATGATAGCAAAGTGAGTTTCCATCTTTTTGGATGAGTCAGCCATAAATTTGTGAATAAATCTGCTACATTCACAGGAAGGTTGGAAACCAAAGCCTCATGTTTAATGCGTTCATTTATGCTTATCCACTTGGGACACCAAGTCTGGTTCTTGATAGAAACATTACCATCAAAGAGCTGCCATTGAACAGCATTAGACAAAAATATGTCTTACCTTAAGAATCGAATCCTAGTTCCACGATTTTGAGATTCGAGAACTAGCTCTCCAATAAAAAGTGTTCGGATATATAGGGGGGGATTGGGCCAGGACTTGGGTCAGTTCTTGGTCTGTACTATAGTTTGCCGAGGGTTTTTACACTTGACTTTGTTTATTTGGCATGCAGTGTTTATGTGCCATCTTTCAGTTGTTGGTTTCTCATATGCACTGTTAAATCCATTAGCTCATACTCTTGACTACTGAGCTAGTCTAACCTGATTGTGAGGTTCAGCAAAAGAAAGGCTTAGCCCTTGGCGGCTAATACTAGTTCATTAGCTAAATTGCTTGTCAAACAACTGACTGAAACCTTTACTAAAGAAATGTTTGTGTTGGACCCAGGCACTCAGTAACTACACGACAGACATAGGAACCTAATCATCTCTAATGATCTTCCAGACATTTCTCCTATCTGAATATAAGCAATCCCTTGATTATCAGTAGAGATTTTTTTTCACTTTCCTGTTAAAACTAAGGAGAATAATAGAACAAAAAAATTTTTTTTGATCCGGCTGTCGGGGGCACCTTTGTGTCCATTCAGTGAACCAAGCTTTGTATCATCAAAATGACGATCAATAGACAGAGCAGAAGGCGATGATGAAACAAGAGTACAAACTGTACATGACTAATCCATTATATTCATTTTGGAACAGAATCATGGCACTTTTTGTACCACTGCAGTTGGCCTTATTCAGGTCTGATCAAGTGATCAGTGTTGGCTATGAAGCCGTATGTCATGCTGATAGGTCATAGTAGCTGGTTTGTGTTGTCACTATTGAACATCTGAGTTATACACTGAACAGATGCACGTAGTGAATTCGACCTGTCTACCGCTACTTGTGTTATTCCATAGTACTACTACCATTTGAAATCTCTGAATTGCACTTACAAAAACAAACCTTAGGAGGCCAATAGTTGGAATCTGTTGTGACCTACAGTTATCATGTCTGGCATTTTCTGGAAAGGATGATGTGCCCTGAAGGTGCTGTGATTTCCAAAATGTGGACTTTCGGAATTTTGGAACGGACTGCAAGGTTAGTTTTTGCGAAGTTCTTTTTTTACTGATTCACTCCATCTTTGTCGAATAACAAATAGGACACGATTCGGTAGTATTTTGACCTAAGCTGACTCGTTGTCAGTTTGCCACATGAGATTGTCAGCACTCGCTGCAAATAGCAATAATAACGTTGTCTCGTAGGAGTACTGTATCTCACAAGATACTAGTGCTTGTCATTTCTCATCTGGCCTTTTCATTTGATGGGACTTGCTTTTGCTTGTTGTTTGTTTGCTCTCTAGCTATGTATTTTCTTTTCTGAAAACATGTCTATCTGCTAGTGTTTTTAGATGCCGGAGCTTAATAGTCTGGTCTATTTCACGCTTGATTCGTCTTAGCAGCAGCGGCCGAAGGATATTAGCTTGTTCATCAAACCTCGTTTTAATATATGCGAAAGTGCAGAAGAATGAAATGCACAGAACAGGCCACGTTGTGCGTGATTCAGATGACCCATCATGGATTCATGGGCCACTCTCCGTCCATCTAACTCCATTGATAATTTTGCATTCATATCTACATCCCAACTTCGTTTTCAGTTTTGGATAATCTCTTTTGTCCTTTATTTTTTCCTCGTTCCATTATTACCTCTTTTAGAGGAAATGCTCAAAGGTAGCTTTACTTTTGCTGTTTTGCACACCAACCGTATGTCTCCTCTGTTTTAATTTTGTTTGTTTCCTGAAACATTATGCAGTGTCTTGTTATTGTCTCTGTGCCTGCTACCGATCGAGCTACCTAAGTTTCTGGAACGATCTAGCGCAAAGAGATTTGTGCCATTGTGCCAGATCTGGAGGAGAATCAATATACGATAGACTAACTAGATGGATTCTTTTGGCGTGACAGGCGACAAGTGTGTTGGCATCGTATTAGCTTTGAATTCCTGAACAAACTGCGCTAATAGGAATTAAGGGCTAATGGACGTTTTAGGTAGGTAGGTTTGTTTGGTGTGGTTCAGAGTAACTGCTATCACTGTTGAGCCTCCGCGATTAGGTGGCCTGGATTGATCCGGGGCTAGCGTGGCGCAACCGTAGCCATCATCATTTGAGGTGATTCAATGGCATTAGGTCGCTGAGCTGGATCTCTATTCTGCTGAGCGCAATGGCTCAACAACCTCGCGCGCACTGACACTGAGTCTCTTCTCTTGGTTGCTGTTTTTCGGTAAAAATGAAAAATGAATGTGTGATCACTGATCACGCGCAGGCTCTGATGGACCTGGGAGGGATCAGGAAGCTGACGCGGATGCTACGGTACAGTTTGTTCCGAGGTCGAGGAGGCCATCAGAGTCAGGGGAACGTGAACGTCCGGACCAGGAGAGGTCGACGGATGAATTTTGAAGAACACTGCAAAAGGAAGTGCTGAACGTTAGAGTTAGAGTTAGAGATGGGATTATGGGAAGAGAGTCATGGTGGTTTGGTTTTGTCGTTCTTGCTAATATAATTTCTTGATGATGCATGATGCCGTGTTGATAGTTTATATTTAACAAAAAGTTAGACGCACTGAAGGTTATGCAATTGCAAATCTGCAGGGTTGTGATGTTTGTTGGTCCCAGCCTCGCAGGCTGGTTATCCTCGTGCCCCACAGCTTTTAAAAGTCGTCAGGATCTAAGTGGTGCTCCAATATTGGACTCCAGTAGCCTTGGACTGCAGTCTCATGCATGGGTGAACTGGCCAAGGCTCTCGAGTAGTAGTAGCTCTGTGCGTCTTTGCACTTACCAAATAGACCGGCCTGTTTAATCCAAAAAAAAAAGAAAAAAAAAAGAAAGACCGGCCTGCAGCCTGCTGATGCTGCCTTTTCTTCCACGATGAGCAGCTGCTGGGGGCTGCGGCTTTGCGCCTTTGCTTGCTCGCCATTGCCATGTACTACGAGCACGTACTGGAGACTGGAGTGGGGCTCGCCAAGCTCCTAGCGTGAATTCAGTGGCAAGATGTTCGTATGGAAGCACGGAGCTACGCCTACTGAACAGTCCGTAGGAGAATGTTTTGTGCTCTCCGAAGTCCGAAATGGAGTGCTCCTACATGCATCTCTCTCGACCTGAAATGTAACGCCAGAATGGTGTAGTGTACGGGGTAGCACAAACTACTGCCAACGTAGGGTCAATGGCGGGTGGCGGCAGAGATCACAAGGGAGGAAAAGATACGACTACGAGACTGCTAGTAGGTTGGGAACAGGCCCACGTGAACGTCGTATGGTCGCGCATACATGCAGTTCGTCAGGCTTCAGAATACAGTTTTTTTCACGCGTGGCAGAACCAACAGCTCCTCAGTGCTGCTGTATGCCTGTATCGATCTGTGTACACGTACGCCCAGCTTGCTGTGCGAAGCCGTGTCTACGTAGTACAGGCGGTTACGCCAATGATAAAACGTCGAACTGGGCGCTATCGCGCAGTCTCGCAAACTGTTCAGCCTTGAAGCACCGAGTACACAGGCGTGATCTCTGACTCGCTGGGCTCGTCGCTGCGGCGTTGAACGGAGCAGCAGCAGCCGAGCGTGAACTTGTGCCGGGCCGGGCACGG